AATTAGTATGTTTTATCTATGGTATAGTAGTTGTATTGTGGTGATAATAATCATGGAAGAGGCAGGTATGCTATGGAAGGTGGTATCGTTGACTAGGTCTATACACTTCTCAATTGACTATTACTCTCTCTACTGTAGGCCTACTTATAATCAGTGTGCGTCTGTGCGAATCGCCTGCAAATCTCACTTCAACGCTTTTCACATCGTAAAAATTACAGAATTGCTGTTTTATTGTAAAATTATCAGATTTAAAATGCATATCGTATATGCCTATAATGGAATAAAAACATATTTGGTCACACAACATTTGTTTACAAGATGATTTTTCACATTAAAACTGCAAGAAACTATGTCTTTATATGTGTAAACTAGCTGATCTGAATTGTACACGGTTTTAACTGACTACTGAATTCCCGTACGTAGGACGGGCTAACACCTCGTCATAACAAAAAACAAACTAAAGGTGTCTGCCCTTTTCACAACTTTTTGGCTGTAATAAATGGCCCAATGAGTAAATACTATTTAAGCAGCTACTGTCATGTCATGACAGAAAGGTCATATTCCTTTTAAACTAGATCACATCATCCTTTATAAGATACGTTTATTAATAATGCATGTAAACGTAAATATTTACGTAACAGCTAATTTACAGTATTTTTTTGCTTTTTGGAAATGCCACATTCTTCTGTCTTTTGAATTATTTGTTGCCAACGAAGCCGCACGACCATATAAACGAGGAGGCCACTAGAATAAAAATTTTTATTTTCAAGAATAAAAACCAAATTCACTTCAAGTATATTCCAATACACCTAACATGCCGTAAAGAGATTATATTGACAACTTTATGTAATCGATAAGGCTGAGACAACTAACTGACATCCCCTGTGTCAATGTATTTTAGCTTTAACAGTAACCCCACAACCAATTTCTCAAAACTGTGCTAGAGGGTTATTCATTGGCACAGAAGTGCGATGTGAACTGACGTGACGTGACGAAGGAAAAATCAAACTTACACTGTAACGGATATACCTCCCTTTGAAGTTAGAACGTGTCTTCCCAACAAACAGATATTTTTTTCAAATAAAATCATAGATTAATCTGCATTACACTGATGAAATCGCAGAATTGTTTAACTACATAAGATCCACCAATACGATTTTAACACAATTAAATGGTTCTTCCAAAGGAAGAGATATCAGATAACATACTAATAATAACTCCGATGACGTACGATATGGGAAATATTTTATTCATTGAATGATCAACCATATTTGGTAACTAATGCAATTAATTTCTTTACTGTTTTTACACTTATTACTCTTTAAACAATGCTAACACGACTCAATTTATCGCACTAGATGAATTAGCGTAAGCCTTGAAAGTAACCGTCGATTTCGACGGGTTTCGCGTAGTATAATAATAATACAAATACATATAATATGTTGCAAACTTCCTTTGAGGTGGTCCGTGCTCAAATTGCGCTGTTTAATATGGTCCAAAACTAATTTCTGAGGCGAAATGAATCCAGTACAATACCATTTACCTTTTCAAGATTGTTTTTGTTTAGAACAGTTTATTAGTTACATAAATAGAACTGCTAATTCACAATAAATTTGTGGATTTTAGATCTATCTAGTAGCCTATTTGAAATACATTTTCACATACTGTTTAGTCCTCAGCTATTAAATTACAATTCACGTTTAAAAGGTTATAAAAAAAGTTGGTCAGCATAACTGGATCTTTGAAAGTGGAAACGTGAGGGGACGAAGCCCTAAAGGAAATTACCTTTTGAAATACCATTCGCAGGTGCGCTAGATCAAAGCTTTAAAAAGACACCTCAATCGCAAAAAACTGTTCAGTATGATGTTGGAAAAAGGATATTACAGGGAACCCCTTATATGGATAGATTAACACAACCTGCTAATCTTAACCATTACATGCGTAAATAACATGCTCTCCTAAAACAATGTTAAAATATAGTTATTCATTAAATTATTCAAAGTAAAGCTTATAATCTATTTATGTAGCTGTCTCAAAAATCCGCATTAAACAACATGTTATGTTATTTCAAATTCGTAAAAAAACTCCAAAAAAACTCCACTTTTTATCTTATTTTTGGACTTCGTAAAATATTTTGGTTCATAGAAATCAGTTTGTTAGGAAATATACCAAGATTTCCCGCCGGGTTTTCAGAACCTAGTTTTCGTGGCGATTTTATAATCGGCAAATAAACCAATTTCATCATATAGTTTTCCGTATACTATAAGATATTATCATAGATAAAAGGTTTATTTGGTTCAAGAAAACGTCGATTTAACGGTTACTTTTATTTTGTTTTACAACCTTAATTGTTTTAATTAGCATTCTATAATTTGAATCCATAATATGATTACTGTTTGTGTACCGTACGCTGTAAACGATTCGCGTGTATTTAAAAACATCGTTGACTCATGAACACAGTGTCGTTTTAGCGAATTTCCCATATAGGGAATAAGCTATTACCGTAGGTCTCATGGTAAGACCTAGACTCGGGACCGATTTACTTTTTCGTTTTGAGGTCCCCAGAGGCCAAAAACACCATCCGTTCAAATTCATATATATATATATATTTATATATATGTGTCCGTTAGCGCGATAACTTGAGCAAATATTATCCGATTTTGATGAAATTTGGTACAAACGTGTAAACCTACGTTTATTCGAACGAGTTCGCGAACCAGCATAATCGAACGATGGGAACAGGGGTTTATGGGGGGTTTTATGGGGTAAAAATGGGGTTTTCCCATTTTTAACCCTAAAAATAAAAATTTTTGCAATTTCTTTCTCGACCATTTTGTAGAGCTTAAAAAAAGAAATAATTTAGTATATTGAAGCGCTGTTTTATGCCTAACAGTCACGGAGAAAATTCAAAAAAAGTGTAATTTAAAATTCCTATGTTATTCTTATGGAGAAAATGAAAACTGTTGTAGTTTACTTGTTTATGGGTATATGTTGATAAAATTTGGCAAATTTATTTATTTCATTCTATACTATTGACATATGGTCAAAAAACACTTTTTACCTTCCCCGTAGCAGCAAACCTAAGCTCTGGTTAAATTTAATGTTATTTAAATTGGGAATAAATATGTCTCATTTATGGAAATATTTTAGTAAAAATAATCAGACAAGTTGAAATTCGCTTAGTCTGCAGGTTTGCTGCGGCGGGGGTATTTCTAATTGTTAAGGTTTGTACTGTATTTTAAAAACCGCGAAACCGCGTTTGACCATAGAAAACACCACTACTGTATTACCATGTTTTCTGTGGTTTGACAGATAGTCTTGTCAGTTGAATGATAAAATAACTCAATAGGTAGATACTCCAAAAATTAAAATGCAAACATGCATTGGTACAAATCTCAACCGGAAATCCATATCAATTTAGGGATATCTCTTTTTTGTAATTTATCCTTTTCTTATCAATGACAAAGTAAATAACAAAGCTCTTGCGTATTCTGTATGATAATTCAGCTTATGCACGTCAAAAGCTAAGCACGCGAAAACTGCAAGTGCATTCATTACATTTAAAATATAATACTTTCCCTCACGCAAATATAATTCAGATACTTCATTTTTACTACATGCTTCACATCGTCGGTTCTACGATTGTGAAAAATGCTTGGTATATAAAACTTGGCACTGTTACAGTTTACTTTCACTTGTCGATTGCTAACGGATCTGTGTCAAGAGAGTATTACAATACATTCTATAGTATTCTATAGCCGTCTTAACGGTGCGAAAGACGCAACATTATGAAGAGGGGCTTATACATAATTATGTAAAATTTCAATAATTAGATGTTCCGAATAACAGTATACAAGATTATAAATGAATACTGAGTCTGGCAATAATTTTGGTGAAATCTGAGACGACCGAGAAAATTATCTCTGGATATCTTAGTATGATACACGCAAATAATTTTACAAAACTGATCAAACTTGTTTGCGAGACCCGCCGCAAGAAAACTTTTTTGTAACATCACATCGCACTGTGATTCCCCGTGCCCATACATTGACATATTCTACAATCGTTCACTATTGAATCGTTGAACCTACTTATATTATTAGGAAATAAGAGTGACAGAACCGCTTCAACGAAAACGGCAAAAAAATAACAGAATATTGGTTAATAAATGTGTTACTGTCTAGCTACCGCTTCAGTGAAACCTGATACGCAGACTAGACAAGGATCTCAACTATATAGGTTATACATTACTGAGCCAATTGGCAAAACTGTTCCTTCACAGTCAAAATATTTTTTTTTTTAAATCGTCAAAACCTCAAAACAAATCAAAGTGCAGTACACGCAAGAAAATCCATGATTGCCTTTTGGAAGATTCCATTGCACTGCACTGCGATTTCGCTATACCCTGGACCATATCATACAAATGCAGAATTATCAAATGTTGCATTAACTTTGCTTGCTAGTTAGTGAGTAAATACAAGTATATTTTTTACATAAAATGTCAAAAACTTATAATAAACCAATGTGTGATACATGAAAGAAAATCGACGATCTTTGGAACGGGCCATTGTACTGAGTTTCGCACTCCCTAAACACACTTTCCAATCGTCGACTTGCCTTACTTTAGTCAGTACCTATACCAGTTAATCAAAGCAAAATATACTTAAAAATAATTGACAAAACCTTCAAACAAATCGATGAGCGATATACGCAAGAAAGTATTTGATCCTTGGAACATTCCATTATACTGGTTTAGTTAGCACTCCCATACATTGACGTACCCTACATACACTTTCCAATCGTTGACTTAACTTACCTAGAGAGTAAATCGGTAAATCCAAGCAACAATTACTTCAAAACGTCAAAACCTTCAACCAAATCACTGTGTGGATACGCACATCTACGATCTTTGGAACATTCCATTGTTAACGAATCTCGCACTCCCATACATCCATGTATCCTACATACAAAACATACACTTTCCTATATAATTAACTCACCTAGTTAGAAAATCAGGATCGAATCACTTCACTGCACAAAACGGAAACTACAAAACACGTAGAACATAGAGTCAAGGTCTTTTTCCGAGAGAGGTACGTACCTACGTACCTTCACCATCACCACCACCTTAGTGACTTGATGACGTTGCTATAGAAACCGGTACAACAGTAACAGAGGGGGGGTGTCCCCCTCCAGGTACCTGTCGCCCACACACTAACACTAGCACCTGCGGCCTTCCCGCCAAGCCGCCAACCGTGGCGAGGTAGCGATTTTATTGTTCCCGTCGTCTCTGTACGCCCCTGATTACACTTCGCTTCGTATTTTGTTTATACTCCGTTCAAACAGCCGTGGCACCTGACGGATTAGGACACCCCATGGAAACCCTTGGGGCCTCCTAATCCCTCAGGTGCCACGGCTGTTTGAACGAACTATAAATGCATGACAAGGATCCGAACACATATTTTCTAGCATACTAGTGCACCTGTTCTTCGAATTCGAGCAATTGTAAAGTATTAAAGGTGTTATTTCAAAACGAATAACAGTCATAATTTCCGATTACTTAAAAGATTCAACTCAAAGATAATGTAATTACTCCATCTTCAGTTATCGAATATGAAAACAAACTCACTCTGAAAACGAACCCTCTTGTGTGTATCATGTGTTTACTATGAACAGCTTCTTCGTCTGTATAAGTAAACAAAATCTTTTCTTCGTAAGAAATACATTGGGGTTTTGATGGCCTGTAGGGCAAAGTCCGAGGACTTTTATATAACAGGAATTGGTGAAAGGGGGCTACAAAAAAATGCTTAATTTTGACACATCGTTTGTACAAATCCGTCCACTGTTAACAGAGAAGTACTGTTTCTTAGAAATCGCCTTCACGTATATACAAGGATTGAGGGTTTTTCAAAGGTAAATAAACAGCTGATTTTTGTTACAAAGTTAGTACAGCTTATCTATAGATTGTACAACACTGTATTAAGGATTTTGTAATGGATGTAGGTTTAACAGAGGCCTATCTTACTGAAATATTTGTCAGGAAATATGTGTTATTTGCTCCCAGTGACATTACTCCCACTCTAAGACTGCGATATTTGCTCCCAGTGTCTATATGACCGGGTGACTCACCCCTCGAGGCACTGGCCGATGGACCAGGGAATACCTATTTACTTCACACTATCATCCTCTCTTCCAACATTTTTATGGGTAATAATTCCAACGCTTTTCCTAGGAGTAGAGTACATGACGACAAACACTCTTTCAGCAGGGAGGGAACTGTCCCTACTGGGAGCAAATGTCACTGAGAGCAAACAGCAGGACACCATTTGTCAGTAAGGTAGCTCTAAACCTGCTGTTTAACTTATCCACTGCAAAGTCCATAAAACCCTAGCCTAAATTTATATCTTTTCCAAAAACGTCACATATATAAAGTTACGAACTTTTGACGAACGTGTAATTCTCATAACTATCAACTAGAATGAAAGGTCTAAAAAAATTCCGAAATAAAACTTAGTTTCCCGATAAATCCTCTCCTATGCAGCCTAAGGGTCCGACTATTTAGAGGGTTGTATTAAATAACATTCAAAATATTTCATTTGCGTCAGCTGTTAGATTAGTTTTTATGTAGCCTGTAATTGTTTGTTAGACCTTTTATTGATTGTTGAAATATATTTTCTATTTTACTTTTCGATCAAATTAACCAAAGAAATAGTCATTAATAAGCAGTTCAATTGAGTTTTACAGTCTATTAATTTGTAATTGGTGGGCCTGTAACGGCTGTCTTACAAAATATTAAAAAACCCCATAATTCTCTTCGGTATTCTCACCCCGTTGCAAAGTAAGGCCAGAGCAACTATTATAGTTCGAAGCACGGCCATAGCAACTAGTTATACTAAATCCCACCATTGGCTTTTGGATAATCAACAAGCTGTAGCCAATGTTTTATTCAAAAAGAACAAAAATAAATATAAGCTGTTTAGCGTTTAATGCTTCCAACGATCATAAACATACAATAAAGTGTCTTAAGCTGATCCATAAAGATAGCAAGTGTGGGTATAGGTAAAAATAAGAGTAGATTAATCTACATTTCTACCTAATTTTAATATTTAAATATCCTAAATAATTTTAAATTTAAATACTATAAAATCTAAGAGTCTGTAATTCTTCTCTCGATGCAATAACACTGGACCAATCTTCGCAATCATAATAACTGCTATTATTTTTTTTACTGTGACACTCACCAACATCAGTCTTAAAGCAGTCTGGTACTAACACACCACACTCTTTACCACTCTGCGCACAGATAGATACTGCCCACTAAGTCTACGATACCGGCTCGAAAACGACTGATAAGGATTAAGAGAATACACCCCTATAACATCATCAGAAGACTCATCACCTACGTCTCAGCTTTATCTTGACGTCACGTCATTGACGACTGTCAAAGTCCCGATGTTTGGTGCCCAGTGCAGGGTATAGTAGTGGGTCAAAGTGCACTGCAGTCACTCTCATGCCGGCACCGGCCGGCACCGCTCTCCAACGTCAACATTTTGTTTATTTATTTTGGTTTATTTATATTTGCGAAGGTTCGTTTATTAGTACAACTAATCATCAAGATGTTGTTACAAACGTAAATGTGAATTAGGGGTTTTACAAGGCAGTGTTCCTGGTCCTACATTTTTTATTTTTTTAGTTTCTTACTCTTTGAACGTGAAAATAATAATGAACATGATATGTTAATGCTAATGGACAGGCAAACAGAAGATGATATATATTGGTTTTTGGATGTCAAAAGTTCCATAGTTTAACAAGGTTTAAAAATAACAACATCTAATTAGTACAGATTAAAATAATATTACTGTACTAGTGTACTATAGTTTTGGAACGGTCAGAGTGAGGCAGAGGTTCACTAATCGGCTTAGGTTGCCCGGGTCCGACTCCTATTGTTGGGGCGTCCGCACTGACATCCAAGGAAACAAGTGGCACTGACTCATAATAAATATGTCCAGTATAAATATGTAGCTTGGACAACTTTTGATGATTTACAAAAACAAATATCACTACGTTCTTTATCATGAAATTTTGTGACATTTGATATCAAATTTCGAACAAATCGGTTTAATTTTGCCTTTACAAGTAAATACTGTACTACAAGTACTGTGTAGATTTATTTTAATAACTGAAAACCACAAATATTATTACGTCCTCTGCAATGAGATGATGTGAATTTCGATATAAAATTACAAACGAATCGGTTTACTTTTACAAGTAACAACTACTGATTGATATTGACAAATCTGAAGGTTTAATGTTTATTGTGAAATTATTGTTATAGGTTAAAAATAAAAACAATAAAATATGTCAGTATTAACACCAGATTTAATTTTAATAAATACTTTACTTTTACACGTATCTACTTTGTACTATAAAAACAATAAAACTATATGTACATATTGACCATAAAAATTACATGAATATTAGCACCAGATTTAAGTTAAATAAATATGTTACCTTTCACATGTATTTAAAACAATACAGTATTAACTAGTATTTACAACAATATTAAGCAGCAAAGCAACCATTAACGCTATAACATTACACGAGTTCTGGTCTGTATCACGAAATATTATCACAGTCAAACATTAAAACTACATTTAAAAATACTAAAAAACCAAATCAAGACAAATACTATACAAATGACGATACTTTGATTGCTAATAAACTATGACTATTAAAAAGCTTATATATAATAATTATTACAATTAATTACAAATAGGAGGAAAATCATTTACAGTATCATTATATCTATCTGTTAGATAATGTAATTTTGAAGCTAAAATTTTGATGGGCCAACATATTACTTTGTATAAAAAAATATATGTACACATAAAACATTAAAATTACATGAATATAAAACCATATTTAAATTGTAACTATTTTACTCTTCCATGCATTTAAAACAATGCAGTAAACAGAATTTACTACAGTAGTAAGAAGTGGAGTAATTATTAACACATTAAATTTTAACTTTTAACGAATTTTGATCTGTATCAACGCTGTTGTTACAGTGTTGAAGACTTTTTAAGAAAACAATGATCTTAAGTTTTTAGATTTCATCCATAAGAAATATTGTTTTTATTTGTAAGATATTTTGTCTACACTATTACGCAGTTTGTAACGACTGTCAAAATAAAGATGTTTGAGTTTGAGTATCACGAATCATACCACAGTCAAATATTAAAACTACATAAACAAACCTTAAAACCCCGAATCAAGAAAAATACTATATAAACAATATTGAAAAGCGAATAAAGAGAATACTTAAACAAAATATATACAATGATTGCAAACTGTAATAAAAAACCGTTTCTACTGTCGTTATTTCTGATTTTCGATCAACATAATTTTGGTGAGAAATTGTTATACATATTACTTTGAATTACCAAAACAATAAAACTATATACAAAATGTCAAAAGCGTCCATACCAGTTGAATTTAAGGGTGTAGAGGAAGTGCCAAATCGTCCCACGAACCGTCGAAGTCATCTTCTTCATCGGTCTCGGTGTTGTAAGACGTTTCATCTTCTGAATCAGCATCATTCCCTGCGTCTAAAACGATTATTCTATCTTGAAGCTCATCAGAGATTAAGTCCATTTTCCACATCATTTCTTCGACGTTTTCGACATGAGCGACGAACTTTTTCCAGTCTTCAGAAGAAACTCTGTCGAGGGCGTTGCTTAGGAGAGTTTCGACAGATTTCAGTGTGTAGTCTGTATTGTTTCTTGCAACTTCACTCTTTACTTTTGCCCATGCTAGTTCAATAGGGTTTAAGTCATAGTGGTACGGGGGTAGACGCAAAACGCAATGGCCACACTCTTCCGCTAATTTGTCAATTTTGTACTGTTTCGCCGCCTGTCGAATGTGTCCTGGGATTCGCAAAAGGAGTTCTGCCTTTACGTCTTGGTGGTTAAAACTGACGCTATTTTCTTGTAACCAGTCCTGGATTTATTTTTTTCTCCAACTCATATTGGGAAGTTTTTTCACTGTCTCACTGTGGTAGGAAGCATTGTCCATTACAATTACACTATCAGAGGGTAGTAGGTGTAAAATGCCCGTAAACCAACTTTCAAATGCTGCAGCATTCATTTCGTCGTGGTGCGTAGCGTTCTGCATGTTTGCTGTTTTTTTTGCTCTGTAAACCCAGCGAGCGTCTTTGTTACTTGTGGGGTCGGTGGGGTCTTTTAAAAACCCGTTCTCATTTCCAATGTGAACAACTATATACCGTCCACCTTTTCCTGGTATGTCCTTAAGTCCTGTTGTCTCTCCATCCAAAAACGCTTGCTTCGCTGATTTAATGTAAGTTGGTGTCCAAGCTTTTTTTACAGTATGACCAGCATTACACCAAGTTTCATCCAAGTAGAATATATTTTTCTTTTGCTCTCTATACTCTTTTATTTTGATTAGATATTGTCTTCTCCATTGCACTATGTCCTCTCTTTCAATAAGGATCGATTTCCGCTGCCTTTTCACGAACTTAAAACCTAGATCGTTCATAAGTTTTCTCGTTGTACGAGCACTTACATTTGGGAGATCAGCATCGGCGTTTATCATTTCAGCTATTTTGTCTGATGTTGGTGGAATATTCTCCCTATACAACGAGTGCACTATTCTTCTTATTCCGTTCTTTTCAAAGTCGGTTAATTTTTCCATCCTCGTTCGTTTTCCTACTTGATGTGGTCTCTTCTTCCCGGGGGTTACAGGAGGTCCTTCATCAAACTCCTTTCGTAGCCGTTCTACAGTTGATCTACCACACCCTGTCAAGACTCCAACTCTTTCAGCAACATTTCTCTTTGACATATCTGGATTTTCTCTCCGCAAAACTGCATAAACATTTAATATGATTCGTCGCTCTCCACTTGTATACGCACGTTGAGTTTTCGGCGTGATGTATTTCTCGGGCGACTGCGGTCTCGGGTCTTCCTCTTCCATCGTCTACGTAAACTAAACACTCAAACGTTTAACACTAACACACCAACTCACACGAACTATAACGTTATATTAGCCGAACTTCTCTATGAGACGAACTAACACTGACTGAAGATCATAGCGATTTTCGATCATAACGAAGATCGGCGACAATCTTTGAATGGTTACTCACGAGGCAAAGGTCATCATGAGTCACTGGAAGGACGACTGAGAACAAATACGTGACAGCCAGATTTGTCAGACTGAAGCAGTAAACATCTGACACATCTTTTAAATATCCAAAATTATGATAATAGACACGATCATGACTATACTTCCTAACATTTTCAAAAGATTGAATGCAAGGCAGTGAATGCCTGGTTCGTATAAAACCGTTCATATTAAGTTTTTGATATTGCCTAGTCTATCACAAATCAATATTGAAAGTAACTTTTAAACCTGATTTGAATCTCTGCTGTCACCGAGTTCAAAAATAAGTTGTCAAAGATGTGTTTGTAGCACAACCAACCAGTAAATATAATATTTTTTTATTAACGGTTAGGTTTTCTTAATAACAATTCAATTACCGGTATTTGTTGCTTGAAAAGGCAAAATTAAACCGATTTGTTCGAAATTTGATATCAAATGTCACAAAATTTCATGATAAAGAACGTAGTGATATTTGTTTTTGTAAATCATCAAAAGTTGTCCAAGCTACATATTTATACTGGACATATTTATTATGAGTCAGTGCCACTTGTTTCCTTGGATGTCAGTGCGGACGTCCCAACAATAGGAGTCGGACCCGGGCAACCTAAGCCGATTAGTGAACCTCTGCCTCACTCTGACCGTTCCAAAACTTTAGGCGAAATTTGTGTGAGGCTATGAGGTATTGTAAACCATAGTTATTTGGAAACTCGTGTTACACATTATATTCTTCCTACAGTTACTATAAATCATATAAATAATACCAAGTCTTTCAAACACTGTACAACGCGTTTTAAGGTAAGGTTAATTAAATCCAAACATTGAACGAAATTGGAAACGCTTCACTAGCTGATCGTAGTCGAAATATCTCATCGAAATATAATTGTTGCCAACTTATTTTCAAGCGTACACGGATTACGTGCATAATAAAAGCACACTGTTTTTTGTTTGTTTGGAATACTGTACTGGTGTGCGCCAAAGCAAGAACTGTGCGCCAAAGTAAGAGGCTTTCTGTACTATAATCTGTGCAAGGAAGCCCACATTTTCGGATGACTGTAGGAAAAATGTCACCCGACAAAGTTGGCTTCCTTGTACTGTTTATAGTACAGAAAGCTGCTAATTGCTGCATATTTATACTTTGCCGTACGGTTTATACTTTGCCGTACGGTTTATACTTTGCCGCACATCAGGATTCCAACGAAACAACACAAAACAGCGTGGTTTTATTATGCACGTAATCCGTGTACGCTTGGAAATAGGTTGGCAACACTTAAAGATAATAATACTATGAGCAGCTAATTGACTATTATAACTACGATTTAACCTGTCATTTCGTGTTTATAGTTTCGGTATTTCTGAACTTTCTGGACTTTTCTTTTAAACGTTTTTAAAACATTCCTACCATCTTAATAAACAAGAAAATACCTTTAAAGCATTTTTTTTTAGGTGCGGAAACCACTTCAAATTAGAAAAACATACGGAACTATATTCTCAAAACGCGGAGCACTTTTCTTGCCGAGGAAAAATAGCGGAGTGATATGGACCGCGGGTACTACTTTCTCTAGGGCACCAGTTGTGTTGCCAGCTGAACCTAAAAACGTGTTGTATAGTGTTTGAAAGACTAATTATTTATATGCTTTATAGTGACTGTAGGAAAAATATAATGTGTAACACGAGTGAAAAAGGCCTTTGCTGCACTCGAGATCATTCCGCTCCGTCATTGCTCTCGTGTGCAGCAAAGTGCCACTTTCACCACTAGTTACACAAATAACTATTTCGTATCATTCAAAATTGGAAAGATAAGTAAATTTGATATACATTTGCCTACGTTGGTTTAGGCTTAGTCTTTTTCAGAAGAGGGCCGCCAGTTTTTAAACTGTGGAATAACCACAGTTCAGGTTGGTTTGGTTTAGGTTATGTTTGTTTATAGCTTTACTCACACTTTTATTTATTTACCGGACAGAAATAATCACAAAATCTCAAAAATCAACAAACCTAAACTGTGGTTAACTCATTATTAGTTCAGTAACATTTTACAACGGATAATGTTGAACAAATATTTTTTACAGCCAATAAGAAAATATAGTTTTTCCAGAAATTTAAATTAATTTTTTTTTTGTTTTGGATGTGGAAATGCCATCTGTCAGAACAACATCCAAGCCGTCTGTTCAGAAGCATTCGAAGGTATTTTTATTCATTTGATGTTGAAGCAAAAACGTTTTTAATGTGATTTTAGACAACTTGAAGGGATATTTATTTTGTATCTACATTTATAACGTTAGATTTGAGACGACAAACCTAAACCTATAGACAAAAGTCAATATCTAATGCAAACAATGATCTTGTAGTTTACTGGTTGTTATTTATATTTAATCTCTGCTTGCATGACTGCATGGGTAAAGTGCTACACTGTACAATCTTTGGGGAATAAAGTAAACAACATAGGCGGAACTCATTATTAAATAAACATAAACATTAACTGATATTGAACTAGAACTACACAAATCTATAACAAATTGATTCTGTTTTAATGAGATGTTTTAATTATCAAGAAATTAATTGTTATACTTTAATACTTTATCCTGAACAATTTTTTTTTGTTCGATTACTCATAGAGCCTATGCTAAATTTATTTCTAGCTCTTTACCGTCAGCTTTGCCCGACATACTGTTGAGTTTGGCTATGAACCGGCTGAAGTTGTGACTTCACTACGGGCTAACAGTGCCGGATTTAGGGTACTTGCGGCCCTAGGCCAAATTACTTGAGCGGCCCTCCCCCTGTGGTGAAAATTCCTTGCAATCGCGAAAGTAAGAGTGAATATCTTCTATGCATCAAGGGGACATCATCATCGACACCCGTGATCGTGGACGAAATCGTGGACCTCTCCTAAACCAAGTCAAAGCCATCATAGGTATCCGTGACCGCGGCAAAATCGTAAACATCCCCCGCGGGCTGCAAAAAAGGGACATCGTCCTCCACATTCCCGACCGCGGCGAAATCGTGATCATATCCCGTGAGCTGTGACCTTGAGGACACCATCACCGTCACCCGCCACCGCAGTAAAATCGTGAACATCTCCGCGGGCCGTAATCACGGCACAGAAAACGTAATACTATAACCAGTACGTTTTCTGTGATCACGGGGACATCATCATCGTTGTAACTAGAATTGGAATTGGCCGTCGGCAGGACTGGAAGTAAACTGAATCAGGTTCAGGTTATGACGGACCGATGACGTAGTCTCTGGATTGTCGTCTGCGTTTTCAACAGCTGGTATTTGACTATTGTAGTGACTGAGAAGAAAATATAATGGGATTCATAATTATTTGAGTGTTTTCACTCAACAATTTTGTGCTGTTCCTGGTTTTGTATTCATATATTTCAAACACCTAAAAGTATTTAATAAATTTCCTTTCGCACAGTACTGTACAATTTAGAGACCATCATTTATATCAAGCATATAAATTGGTTATTATTGTAAATAATTCATATTTATTTGAGTGTTTTCACTCAACAATTTTGTGCTGTTCCTGGTTTTGTATTCATATATTTCAAACACCTAAAAGTATTTAATAAATTTCCTTTCGCACAGTACTGTACAATTTAGAGACCATCATTTATATCAAGCATATAAATTGGTTATTATTGTCAATAATTTTGAATGGAAAACTCAATTATGAATCCCATTATATTTTCAACACTCTCCTCCGTCCCTTCAATAATTAGTCCAATATCAGCTTTTGATAACACAGACGACAATCCAGAGACCACGTCTTACCGTCATAACCTGATTCAGTTTACTTCCTGCCCGTGGCAATATACACGCGTGAACTGATCGTTTCGTGTTTTTTTTTTTTTTTTTTTTGTACAAACGGATTGTCTGACAATTATAAGATAACTTCACTTCGTCACAAAAACCTTTTGTACTGGAGGCAATTAAAGCATTGTGGGTATTTTGCCCGGCGATTTTTGTTGAAGGCAGCCTGGGAGTGGCGAGCAACAAAAGTCTGTCTAATTTCATGACTCTGCCTATAATTTTGAAACAAGATACTTTTTGCCAAAGTATTATCAATGCACTTAAAGCTGTTTTAATTCTTAAGCCCTGTAAAAATTAACGCCACACTGTGTTGGAGTAGAGTAATTCACCGAGTATATTGTTGTACGTTTTGAAGACGTTGTCTATTGCAATACTGAGCACATGTTGGCTGACAATACAGATCATGAATTGTAAATTGAAAAACTTCTAATTCGTGTATTAGTTAGATTAGATATAATGATGTATTTTTAAATGACGTTTCCTATTAAGCATTTAATTTTTATTATCAGCAAGTTTGTTTTTTGTACCTCAAATACTAAGTACTTGTACTCAAGTACTAAATACTTGAAATACTCTTTTTATGAGGTAAAGGAAAAATTGTCAGATAAATTGGTGGGGGGAGGGTAGGTTTAAATAGACGGCAGCATAAATTGGGGGGAACTACTCCTGTGGCTTGGGGGGGGGGATTGCGCCTCTGGGTTTGGGGGGATGGGCACCCTTGCTTCGGTGTAGGGGACCAAAGTAAACAATTACAGACGAACAAGTAACCTCAAAATTACGGACCCGCGTCGTGGTGGCGGAATTGTATCCCCCTGGAATTTCCCCCCTGAGCAAAACTGACGAATTCTATAAATACTGGTGGGGAACATAATATTATAATTTGTCAGCAAACCCAAAAAGATGACAAATCTATAAAGCGTATTTCAGTCCATGGTTAGTTATATTTCCCATTCAATTTTTTCTATTTGTTAATGCGTTACAAATACATGTAATCTCTTCCTGGATATGCATAGGGTTTAACAGTTCTTGAGAAATTACATCAACTCATCGTTAATAATACACATTATGTACTACATATGCGAAATAATCATCACGGAAATATTTTTGACATACTTCTCCCGTACTGTCAATAGTTATTTTGGATCAGCTGGAGTTGAGTTTCATGTTTACGTTGTTTTGTCGTCGGCTCGGTAGCTGTCACCGTCAGCACCAGCAATGCACCATTGTTTGTAATTTAACAGTGAACTAAAAGTAAAATTACCTTTTTATTGATAAAGTTTGTAAATCAAATTTATAACATGTAACTTTATATTTTTAACGTATTCTATATTGCATGCTTACTGTACAAGATTGGGTCAACAATGTGTTGTTAATAATTTTAGTATTTAAAGGTTAGAGAAATCAGTGTCTAGTAACTTAAACTTTTTTAGTGAATTTCTGTATCCAAGATCTTAAGTGAGTAGTATTTGTTAAAAATTGGTAATCTCAAGAAATTGTTAACTGTTGCTGGATGCCATAAACATGATTGATGATCAAACTTTGCTGATTGGTAAAGGTGGAACAGTAGCCCCTCTACATGGAAGTTCAAGAGACATGTATTTATCAAGTACAGATTCTGATACAAATTTATTAAGTTCAGATGAAAGGACAAGAAAGAAAAGTGTAATCAATATCAACACGGGTGCTTTATATACCACTGGCAAACCCGAAGTTAGAGATGGACTCTTGAATGTGCGAGCTCTCTTCTTCCTCATTTTATGGTACTTTTTCAGTGGATGTACATTGTTTCTGAACAAATACATCTTATCTTACACCGATGCTGACCCAACAATATTAGGTAAGAAAAAGCTTGATATTCTTCGATTATCTCATTTAATACGACCTAAAAATTGTAAAAACCATGAACAGTGTTTTGAGCATTAAGTTTAGAGTACCTAGCCTAAGCTACTCACAAAATATGGTTCATAGGTTTCACAGCAGACTCCCACAGAGTATCTGTAGCCTATAGCTGAGTTGTTAGGGCTTCTTCATATATGAAGGTTGTAAGATGAGTTCTTTGAAGAGCACACTGCTCACCACAAATATAGGCACCAAAATGAACCACCACTTTACACCATACACACACACATTAACATCCAACACTAAATGACATAACAAGAAAAAAGAAGATGACGATTCGATTCCCTAGTCTCTACGACTACGGTGAAGAGGACCAAGGTAAAAGGTAAAGGTAAAAGGTGTAAATTTTATCCTAAGTGGGATCAATTCTGAACATAGATGCCATTTGTCATAGAGAGACTAAATCAACGCCCAGGGCCTGGACCGTTCCATTAGGCCTACCTATTCAAAACCTTCAACTAATCTTAATTAATGCCAATGGCATAGAAAAAAAACCGACATGATTTTAGATCTGAAAATCTATTCTCTCTGTAGTTTTATTATTTTGGCAATCGTTGATTAGACAATTTTTAGAGTTAACACTAGGCTACGATTAATCGACAATTGGTCCATCTGCAACTTAATTTTGCAACATCCAATTTTGTTTTACAAAATGAAACATTTTGAAATGTATTAAAAAGATCTAGATTGATCTAAGTTTTACTTATATCCAAGTGATAGAAAACACAGTACTGAAGTACTGTAACTTAACTAATTGTAAAAGACCATAAGTTAGGCTATTGTAAAAGAAATATGCCTAGGGCCTACTGTCTTCACCAACTGGTTACCTACCTTCACAATTTTAGGCAAGTATTAAAACCACTCCACTACCTGCCACCGCACCGAATGGTCAATAAGGGATTTCAAAATAAATTAGGCTAATCAAACAAATTTGTATCAACAATTTGACTGTAGAAAAATTGGATAGAAGAATTGCCTGCCTGTCAATAACAAACGTTAAACTTAATAACTATGAATCGGTTTCAATACATTTTAAGCGAAATTATCTACCTACGCCAAAACCAAACAAATAGAAATGTTGGCAGCACAACCTAAGTTAATCTAACCTTACTTTAAATCATGAATTTGAAATACTTGATAATTGTGTGTTGTTGTTAAGGCTGAAACATTTACGTTTCCAGGTACATTCCAAATGTTAACTACCACGGTGTGTGGTTTCATCCAGCTGTATATACCTTGCGGCATGTATAAGCCGTCACAACGACTCTCCCGACCTCCCGGTTTCTATAAACACATGACCTTTGTTGGATGCACTAGGTAAGCTTTAGACTAATAACCTAGCTCAATATTATACTTAATTAATATTGTGACATTCACATTACAGCCCTATTTTTAGGAGTGTGTCACGTAGTGGTGTTTCTTAAGGTGGGAGGTAAAATACCTCAAAAGAGCTAAGCCTGTTGTTTAGCTCAAAATCAACTATAAGATATCAAGGTGATTTACATTTCGTCAAATATTAAAATTAGAATTTGGCTTTTCTTCTTTAGCACAAACGTAGAAGAGATGTTGGGTGCAGACATCTTTAGTAAATAATGGCTTGTTGTTATTAGTAATTATAATTATATGTAGTTTGGTGTAGACAAATTAAAATTAAAAAACTTGGTGATTTAGGTACGTCTAGTGTGGTACATAACAAGACAATGACATCTACATTCTTACTTTTTGAAAGTAAAACGCTATGGTTTTTAACGCCTGTGTAACAAAATAGTGAACCTAAGTGGTTAGTACAACTACCGTGCACTTGATTTTTCCTCTCTACAAATTTGATTTTTCTAATGTTATGAAATTTACTATATTAAAATTTAATAAGTATTGTTTTTGGTTCCAGGTTTACAACTGTGATACTCGGTCTAGTTTCCTTAAACTATGTAGCTGTAAGTTTCACTGAAACAATAAAAAGCTCGGCTCCAATTTTTACTGTCATCATTTCAAGAATATTGCTGGGTGAGTATATTTTTTAAGTCCATCAAACTATTATATGGTGAGATATTAATACAATTTCAGTCAAATACTTTAAGATTAAGTATCAAATGGTAGGCTATCTGAAAGTACTGTCATTTTTATATCCATTGACATTGCTATATTATTTTAATTTTTTTTTAACTACACCAGTTTTATTTAAGTTCTTTTAGGATTGTTTGTTTTTATCTGTTTATTTGAATGATATCTATGATATCCATCCATTCAATGGGGATTAGTAGCACCAAAAATATAATTGACTTTAGATACATAACAGAAATGGATATTGTCAAAGGTGATATCGTTGACTATTGGAGTTATTAATAGTCAAAGGTGATATCTAACAATAGTTCGTTAATAACAATTAGTATAGATTGATCAACAGGTGTTTAACAGTTGCTTTATAAGGTTGTCTGTTTCAACACAAGAGAAAAGTTAAAATATAGGCTAGCGAAAAAATACAGTATACAACTTTTAAAAATTATGGTAGCCTATCTATAGTAACTATAACTCATTTTCATGTACAGTAGGTACTTCCCTTTTTATTTTTTTAAATTTTAAAATAATAAATAATGGTTTAGTAATAAATGCATTTTAAAATAAATACCTAATAATGTAGTAAAATAATAAACGAATAAATCGGTGTTGTACATCAGTTTAGTTTTGTTGTTTGCAGCTTCTAACAGTCAACGTCTTGTTAAACTTAAATCAATCACAACCCTACAGTACGGTCCACGAGAGTCTGCAGTTGAGGGAGGAGCCTATTTACCACATGACTTTGAAGGAGCCAATGAGGACAGTGCGGTGTTGCCAAATCTAATAATACCAGCTGATTTGAAAATATTGTTTAGTATATTTTAATTAGTGTCGTAAAGTAGTAAACGGGTGATGTTGCAATGCCGCGCCAGTCCAGTCTTGGTATTTGCTGCCGCCAATACCGCCAACGACACGAGTCGAAATTTTAAGGTACAAACCTTGGCAAGTGCCTTAAAAACTTCTACGAGTGACTTTAACACTGTTCACGCGAGTTGCGTACACTACTTTACCTACGTCAGTGTTTTAATTACTAAAAATCACAACTGTACAACTCATAACTTCTAAGAGAGGTTATGTTTTCATTTATAACCTCTCATTGCCACTGACAGTGATGCAAAGAAACTTTGTACCAAACACTAATTGCACGGGTCTGACTTAGGGGAGGTACGAATGAGGCATTTAGTTCAAAATTCCTCCGCGAACAGCGCTGTAGTAGAGAGCACTTTGTCAATGAAGGTTTACTATTCGCAAAAATAGTTCTGTTCATAAAATAAAATTATAAATGCCTCAAATTAAATTTTATAATTTTTTATTTATAAAATTAAACTATCATAACCTAACCGAACTAACCAAACTTGCTGATAATTAAATAATATAAAAAAGATTAGTAATAGAAAAAATAATTATGTTTATTAAATAAATCTAGACATTGCTCAATTAAAATTTTATAATGACCTAATAATAAAATTAAACTGTCATAACCGAACCAAACCAACCAAACTTGCTGATAATGAAAAAATCTGAGACAAAAAGTTAATGCAACCAGCGAGATTCGAACCCGGGACCTTTTGCACGCCAGCCCGGCACGCTAACCACTAGACCACCGAAGCCGTTGTCCACACTCCGTATTGTTACGGTAATAGCGTTCCCTCAGCTAATAAGAAGCCCACAGCTGTCATCGTAGCCTCTTCCGTACCTCCCCTGAGTAAATACCCTAATTGCACCATTCAGCAATTAAATTGGCATGAACAGCTGATTAGTTGAAGTTCGAATCATTACAATTCTACTTATTCTCTTTCAATCCTTGATCCTCATTGGTCCATTACCTGTGTTGTTATAGTGGAAAATTTCTACTAAGGTTATTTCCTGAGTAAAACTATGCTGTTTTGAAAGTAAACAATGCTGTTACTGTATCTGAAACTTTTCAGTTCTACGGCTACTTTAAAAAAACGGTTTTAGGTAAACAAATTTCAAAACTTAAAAGTACTTTTGATTTTCACAAGTCATTATCTGCGTTACTTCCACAGGTGAGCACACTGGGTTATACGTCAACTTATCCTTGATCCCCGTAATGGGAGGTCTAGCTCTATGTTCCATCAACGAGCTTAGCTTCGACTTCCGAGGCTTTCTGGCTGCCATGGCCACCAACCTTACGGAATGGTGAATATAAAATATTTCTTTACTGTAGATTCTCTCTTGTTTGAAACTTTGAACATTACAAAGCCAGATTATTTTCTGAACCTTTAGTAAGTCCAGAAGAAAATGCGTTTGTTGCTAGCCTAGTAGTTAGCGTCTCTGACTTCAGTGTGTGAGAGAACAGGTTTAATCCTGGCTAGTTACTAAAGTTTGGACCCTTTCCCTAACAAGCGTTTGAAATCAGTTCATACACAAAATTCCAAATGGGTAGACACCACAATAAAAAATCAGATCGAAAGTAGAATGAGTTTACTGCACTCCAATTTTCGACAGTTGAATCCTCTTACTGTACATTCAATTAAGATTGTACAGAAATTAGTGGTACTTAAGTATTATCCGGAGGCCACTTATTTTAGAGGTTTTTTTTAATCGGAAACCAAAAATAACTAAACAATTGGAAAGAACATACTTTAATTGACTTACTGTTCACATTTGACATGATTACGATTAGTGGCCTTTGAGTTCTGCCTTCCAGAAGGCAGTGATGTCGGCGAAGATTGAGTTTGAATGCTCTCTGCCGCTAGCTGCCAGATGTACTCTGCCAAGTAGGTATACAGCAAGCTGGATAATACCAAAGTACCGTACCAAGTTAGCCTCACTATCACCTCATACAAAGTAACCTATGCGATTAAAAAAAAGTATATATATATAAGTTAATCACAAGAGGTTTAAAAAATATTGAACATTGTTGTAAAGATTAAAACGTTTCGTTATTTCCCTAAACTTCCATTATTTTAGTTCATTGGAGTTACTTCTATTATAACAACTAAATAAGCAGTATGTTTTGATAATTTGTATAAAAAATAATGCTTAACCTTGATTTTTTCCAGCTTGCAGAATGTATATTCAAAAATGCTAATTAGTGGAGAAAACTTCAAATACACGTAAGTATACTTTTTGTTGACTTTCAATGTTACTTCAGGATGCTTGTGCCGTGTTATTGATCTATCTTTTGACATAATAGCATGAGTATGTGATCAAATATTTAATTTAATCAATACTTTGTTTTGAATCTCAAAACCCACCAATCAAGTCTTAAAAATCTGAATTTTTTAAAAATTTTGATGATTCTGAGATTGGAAATTTGGTTTTGTCAAATCACTATTCCTCTATTTAAATCTTAAAATTTCTAATGTATTAAAACACTTAACTACAAAATAATAATGGTACAGAGTATTTGAAGCAAAATTATAACAATTACCACCCTGCAATCCACAGGCCAGCGGAGCTGCAGTTCTACACCAGCATGGCATCTGTGGTGGTCCAAATACCCGCCTCTGTGTTGTTGGTAGACCTGTCTGGAGTCAGGAGTACCACGACGCTCACACAACTAGCGCTGTATGTGCTCAACGGAGTGTTCTTCCACTTCCAGAGCATTACTGCCTACGTACTCATGGACTACATTAGCCCAGTCACGCACAGGTGAGTCGTGTCAATGTCAAAGTAAAACCTTTATTGTAGGAATGGGTTGATTTTTTAACTCTGTTGTCGGATTCACTGGTTTTCAGAAAAAACCTTAACTGAGAATTGTCAGTTTCGGTTTATCAGTTGTTGCGTAATATTTTCACCGAGATTGCAAAGACTGTATGTTTGCTGTACGTTTCTGTGCTAAGAAGTTGATTTCTACCAGACAACGGAAGATATTTAGGATTTTGCTGTGATTGCAGAAAATGTCCATGTGACCCTGGTAGATATTCATGATTTTCACATGAATGCTGATAATTATGCTAACATGACATGAAGGGTATTCAGATTTTAACGAGATAAAGGATTTCGGTAAACTTAAGTTGATGAGTTGTAGACCAATGTTGATTCTTGAATTTTGATTCTTGGGTTTAATAAACGTAACCTTTTTGTTAAAATGATGCTTTAACTAATTAATTTGATCCTTTTAATAGTTAAAGTATACATAATAATGTAATCATAAGTTGAATTTCTTTGTTTCATCATTTTCACGTATTTGGTAATAGGATACCCTCACGGAGTAAGTGTAAAACTATCAAAATGTATTGAGTTATCATTGTTTAAGTGGGTGTAATTGCTAAGAGGCTATTGTGTAGGCTTTAAAATTTGAAGATTGCTGGTTTAATCTTGAAACTCGAGCAGACCTACCTAAAGAAAAGGCTGACTGTAGTAACAAGACCCCAGTTTTGACTGATCCTTCACAAAAATCTAAAAAATACCAACGTTGAAAACACACAACTAAAAAAACCACCACCTATGTTCCCAGCGTTGCCAACACGGCCAAGCGAGCTTTCCTGATCTGGCTGTCGGTGCTCATGTTTGGTAACGATGTCACGGTGCTCAGCGGACTCGGGACTTGCACTGTCATAGTTGGTGTTCTTCTCTACAACAAGGCACAACAGATTGATCTGCAAATGTACAGCAAACTCGTCAAGGTAGGCCTATTTGAGTATTTTAATGGGTAAGATGAGGTACGGTACTTTAAAACAAGCTCATTTCATGCTGGGTTAAGTTAAATATGGATGAGTGTAAAATAAATTTGAATTTTTGGGGCTAAGCAACTAATGTTTTTTGTAATTGGGGTTGATATATACAAGGGTTACAGAACTGTTTCTGAAATAAAGCATCCTCTTGTCATATTAAAATTCAGATTTTATTCAATCCGGGGGCTCGGATCTCCTATTAGTCTGGGTTGATGAGTGTTTACTGTACAGTCCAAACACAATACCAAACACTGTACAGTTTATGTACTGTACAACCCTTCAATTTGGCCTCAGTCTTAAAGCTATTCATGTTTTGTTTACATTGAGTATGTCTTCAAAGCATGTCAACGGTTGAATTGAAAATTTGAAGAGACGCACACAGACTTTTTGACCGTGTACAATTAAAAAGCCATATTTCAGTAAGCATTATATTTTAATTCCTCAAAATCTTGGTGTAAAACATTTAATTTAAAACCTTCAGAATATGCTTAAGATGATAAAACATAAAATGGACACTTCTAACGGAATGATATACATCGAATTGTTTGTTTTGTGTAAACCGTTTCTTATACAAAAAATATAACAATAATAATAATATAAAAAATATAACAAAAAATATTTATAAAAATATATAAATATTTGTATAACTCAATAATGCCTCAAAAGTTTTTTTATGTATCTATAAATGACAAATACGTGCAAAACAAACTGTATAGTAGACTATAAAAACCTAGTTAGCTAAAATAAGCTCAGTTCTAAATTCTAAGGTCACAGTGTTCCTGGAATATGGTGTTGTGTGTTACGTACAGTAAAGGCTGACAATACCTGGAGGTATATTGACCAATAAATATAATTTTTTTGCAAAAAGTACAATACAATGTGTAATAATTTACACAGCTATGTGTGCTCTGGCTGGATATTGCAATGTCTTAATTATCTTAATATTGCGGTTCGCGGTGTTGCTCTGTCACGTAGCTGCCGTATTCTATTTTTAATTCACCCGACCCGGCCGACGGTTGACCTTGGGAACCACCCCTACCCCAATCACTCCTTTCTCCTACGGCAGTCTCAGCTGAGCTGCCAGCTTAGTTTGATGAGTGATAAGAGTTATTTACACTTAATGTTTAGGATCTCATATCTAAATGTGATAACGTGGTTTTCTTTTATTCTGTATAAAAATACAGAAACGGGCGCCAAAAAACCGTGCGACGGCCCTGTTCATAACCCTCTATTTCCTCTATCCCGGCAACAACTACTAATTACTAAATTATCCCAAATTACTAAATTTCAGCTTATTACCAACTGTGTTTATTGTATTGTAAACAAATGTTTCGTATAATATTTGCTGATATTATTTTACAAGTTTATCACATGTTTCAGTGTACTGTACATTCTACAAGGGGCTAACTATGATGTCCAAGATCTTGTAAAGTGTTCTTTTTATTTCATTAACATTATTTTGTTACCTTTATTCCAAAATGTTGTTTTTTTATTGAAAATATGTTTATAATTTGCAGAAGGAGAACAGTGGACTCCCGAGCACAATCAAGACAAGAACAATTTAAGCCTCACAAGCACGCCAGTTTTGAGGTTATGAGATGCATCACTGAAATCTGTCACAGATCTCGTCATAGATTGTCAATTGCTAACTGTCAAACTATTTCCATCTTTGTAGAACTTTTTATAGTACCATAACTCCTTTAGTTTTTATAAATGCCTATTTTTATAATTTTGTATTCTAGACCATGTAATACAAAGTGTAACAGTTTTTTTTTTTTACTTTGATGTTTTATATAAGAAGTTTTTCCAAATTTTAGTAGTTACTATCACGGTTGATCCTTTCCTTCCTGTTAAAGACAACTTTAAGGTAAAAAAAAGTTTTTGGTAGAGTCTTTGTTTTTTGGGGAAGTGGTTTTGTGGGTAAAGACAGCCAATTTTTGAACTAAAATAGAGCTCATCAATAAACAAATTTACCCAAACATGACAGCCAAAAATAGTGACAAGGTCAAAGTTAATTGCTTGGAACCATCCATTTTGTGACATGCTCCACTGTTAAATGTTGAAGTTCAACTGTCTTGACATATTGTTTTATAGTTTACACAGGCCCACTTTTATAAACGGGCAGACTCGGCATACGCCCAGGGGCGTCGAAGGTTTGTGGGGGCCCCGGGGCGCCCCTCATCTACTGCCTGCCCGCACTAGGAAAAAAGTGGGGGCACTGCTTTTGGGTTTGCCCAGGGCTTCACTGACCCTTAACGCGCCCTGAGTTTACATAACCTCCAAAGTTTATTCTGGCCATTTAATAAATATAGGTAAACATACTTCAACCTTATACTGTAGGGTAACTATAATTTTACAAGTCTGAACCTTCCATTATCAGGTCTAATTAACCTGAAAGTGAACAGGAAAACACATCCAATTATGTTACTGGCCCGAAAATAAACATTATTTAACATTGTTTAAATGGGCCAGTTAATTTGTTTGTGTTAATGATCAATACTGGTTTCTATTCTAATATTCATGGTAGAAACGTATTTACATTATTTGTCTTGAGTTGAATAAAGTTGGGTTTTAAATTTTTATTTTTAACTAGGCCTATTTTCTGTAAAAAAAAACAAATTACAATATGACAAAAACAATTACGGTACAAGTAAGATTTATTTATGCATTCAATTTGTACGATTTAACCCAGTATTATAATCAAGAAACTTCTGTAAAAGTATATTGAAATTGCAGATTTAACCATCTATCAAATTGCCAGCAGTTGATCGATCACAACGATAAGTGTAGGCATATCATTAAGTTTAGCTTTATGTTTTAAATAAACTGTTGCTTATTTTAATATTGCTTCAAACATTCCTTTCAAATCAGAGAAAGAAACCTTGATAAAATAATTAAAAGTATTAGGCTACTTTATTGAAAACAGAGTTTGGATGTCCTGGTTTAAAACTTTTGGTAATCATAGTAAAAAGGGTATTCCTCCTCCTGTTTTTTTCTTTACTAATACGAATAAAAATAAGTACCAACTTGGATTTCTATTCAACAAAGTGAATGGACCCTTACAGGACACCGAACACCATTAACTGATGGTTTCCCTTTATCTTCATTTTGATTTTAAACAGGTTAACACGTTCGCGGCGGCATGGGAGCGATCGCTCCCATACGGAACCCTAATGCCATCCTGGTGGGTGCGATCGCTCCCAAGCTGCAATGCAGTACGAAATGATTTATTTTTAAGCCAGTATTAGAGCTAGAAACTTGAAACCTCGCACAGCACTGCTCAATAGTATACTGTATTTTGTTGTGGTGTTGGTTGGTAGTAAATCTTCCCGTAAATCCCCGTCTGGCAATCTCAAAATTCTACTTTTGTCCCGTCTTTTTCCCTCCATTTGGCAATACAATTCCAATGGGACCGGCTACGTTACAAGCAGTGCTGCTATCTGTTAGTGTTTAGCGAACTACGTCGACTCTCGTTGTAAAGCAGGACATCCTCGCACGTTATTTGCTATTTGTCAGCCCGAAATTGGAAAGCCAATCACACGCGGCAATCGGGTTTGTTCGATGCTGAGGGCTGCGCCGGACCTGGGATACGCCCGCCATTTGACGTGCCGCCGCAAACGTGTTAAACACTCTAAAATCCTTTATAACCAATTGAACTTTTATTTTTTTAAATAATTCAATACAATTCCATCTTAAAAGGTGAATAAATAAGGGTTAAAACTTGTGCAATGGTTCTTGTTAGATTTTAGCTGTTGATGCAACAGTAAAAACTATTAGAAATAGAATTAATGTGATTTAATATCAGTATGAATAACTTTTGTAAATAAAGATTAAGCTGTAAATATATATCACGTATCCAATCTTACAACTTGTTTCATTTCATCAGTTTCCCTGAATAAAAGCCAAAGACAGGTTGTAAATCAAACATTACTACTTTACGTAAAATATTTATTCATGATGTGCTTTGGATTTTTTGCAACATGTCTTCAATCCAGTACTTCATTATAGGTTGTCCCTTCTTTGTTTTTTTATTAAGTCGTTTTAACTTTTGTGCTTTCTTTTCCTTATAACGTTGCAGTGCTTTGTTCATTTCTTCTTTTTTGTGTTTATTTTCTTCTCTTTGTCTCTGTTCTTCTTGCTTTTTAGATTTGTATTCTTCCAGAGCCTGGGCAAGTGCTCCTTTATGTCTGAAAATGTAATAGATCATCATAATTCAATGGTTCTACATCGATTGCGACAAAAAATGTTCAATAGGCTATGTAAAGACAATTAATAACATAAAGCTAGAGAATTGTTTTTGAATTCTAGGTCTACAGCATACTTGATTAATAAGCCTAACTTCTTAACCAAATCTTTACTGATTTGCATTTGATTGATTTAACGGGAAATAAAATGTATTTATTACTTTTATTAAGTTGAATTATTTTAAAACCTTAGATTAACTTAGTTATGATGCTTCCAAAAATTAAGTAGTCCATGATGCTAAGAACAACAGAAGACAGAAGCATATAAATCCTTTTCAAAATAATAAGCAAGTTAACCCTTTTCAATATAATAAAATAACCTTACAAAATCATCATTACAAGATTATAATAAATCTTAATAGCTTGTTTTTACTTACTTTTTATCATGCTTTGGGTTAAAAGAAGTTCCTCCAAACTTGTTTTTTAGTGGTTGAGCTGTATTTCTTGGCTTGAAGTCTTTTTTCTTAAAATTCTTATCTGGAACAAAATATTAATATAAAAAAATATTTAGGGGCGTACGAGTTTTTCTATTTATGTTAAATATACTGTTCAGACATAGATACTACATTTTGAGGTCTGTCATCGGCAGTAACTTATGCCTAATGGCTTCATGTGACTTAGGCCTACTGTGACTAGAATTACTGTCAACCTAGAATTACTGTTACTGTGCTGCTTAGTTTAGTGAAGGTAAGATGAAGAGAGTTAGGGAGAGGATGAAAAAGAATAAGAATATCGTTTATTATAGAATCACTTTCTAAGTGGCTGTAAATGCTTGTACCATTTTTTAAATAATTGTATTTGAATTGTAATATTTTAATCATTGAAAATAAATAACTACTCGGTTCATTATAATGTAAACATTACCTTACCAAATCTAACCTTAAACGCCTCCAGATATCTCGCTTGAATGTTAATCAAACATTTCACTTTTACACAAATTTTGTATACCTATATATATAAAAAAATTAATATATTTCAATGATACAAAGCCTTTCTATGTAAATAAATTACTTGATAACCTGTGTTATACTGTCTCCAAGATTGTATTTATTTTCTTTTTTTTACTAAAAAACGTTAGCGACCTGATTAAATTTCAGAGAGGTTACGTTGGTAATTCATGGAAAAAAGGTAAAAAATAAATAACTAAGCTCTGTTAAGTATATCACTGTAATTGTTAAGATATTGTGCAACAATTAACAAACAATATTTGTAATTTTAAGTAATATTTTTCTTTTTATTTCTTTTTCCATATTAAATATCCCTCAATTTGAAATTGACCCTGAAGCTGGTGATGGCCCGAAGATAAGTCGAGACAAGAAGACACATCCTCACTGGTTCTCAGGAGTCTAGAGATGCTATGGTTACGAGCGTAGTTATTCGGCTGGTATCTCCTTGTGAAGACAGATCTGGATCGAGTGCCCCTTGGAATGGTGAGGTCGATGTCGTTTAATAGCTCAGGACAATCGATGATCCCATTTACCAGTTTCTACATGAAGATGATGTCACAGATCCGTTGTCTCACTGGAAGAGGTTATATATCAAACTGCAGGGCCAGGGCTGTCACTGGTGTTTGCAGGAAGGGGAATCCAAGTTTAAGACCTAGCAGTCTGAGGAAACGTGTTTGGATTCTGTTTAGGATGTCCATGTGGCCTACTTGATGACCAAATGAGGGAGCTGTATTCTAAAATTGGCCTGTGCTAGTGACTTGTACAGGGTAACTAATGTCAAAGGGGATTTAAGGGGTCTTGTAGAGTGGTAGATAAAACCCAACAGAAGATACTCTAGAAGATATATGCACCCAATGTTCAAGTGGGCAAATGAAGGGAGTGGTAATCACACCAAGATACAGGAGCCTACTTAGTTCTCTGGACCATGACCACATTAAGACAGCTGTCATCGATGCAATAAACATACTCATGCATCACGCTACTTCGACTGAAGAACATAACCACACATTTTGAGACGTTGAGTTCCATAGCATTCAATTTACACCAGTTGCTAATGTTGTTGAGCGAGAGTTGGAGTTCTTCTTGGTTACCTATCTGTCGAAATGATTTTGTTCAAAATCTTTATGTCATCAGCAAACAGCAGGAACTTTGTTGTAATCGAATTGCAAATGTCAGGCCTAAATAAGTTACTTTTTAAGTTGAGCAAAGTTATGTTCGAACAGTGTCTAAGCCTACAAGTTACATCTTACAATAAAGAGCCCACCACCACATGTGAAACACTAGCTAAGCTTATTATTAGGCCTAAAGTTACTTACTTTTGTTCTGATGTTTATCATTGTCCTTTGTAAAGGCAAATTTCGGGTTAAGTCCCTTAATATCTCTTGCTGTAGACTTTCTATCCATGAAATAAGATATTGGGTACCGTATGTAAAATTCAGAATAAATAATATGAAAAGCAAGTAAAAAACTTAACAACAGTTAGGCTACCACATATTAAAAATAACAAGAAAAATTAGAAGATTAGGACGTATATAGCAAAACAGAACTAAACTGTATTATTTATTATTGTACAACAGTAGTACACCACTAAATAAAATAAATGTTTATGTTGCTTTTTGAGGTTATGTTTTGACACGGACACGGTCGTGTTTTGATGGGGTGGGAAGGTAGGTTCAGTGGTGCAGGCAGAGAGGAACGAGGAACGTGAGAATGACATATTAATCAAAATTATATTATATCGAACATCGAAGTAATTTGTCTAATCATGATAGACATTATGTAAAGTCCAACGTTTAATCCAGGACTACAAACATACATGTTTGTAGTACTGCGTTTAATCTATGGTATTCTCGTCAGTTCAGTGGAGTGGACTACCTACAAAGTTTTATTTTTTTAATTTACACTGGCAGCTAAAATAATACTACAACACAGTGCTACAACATTATTCTGTCGTAAGCCTACATAACCACAGCCAAGAGGATAAGTACTGACTGAAGTTTTATTTCATTTCTACATTCTTAACTACTTTAGAAAAAGTGCCTATTCCCTTACTGTGATTCAACATTACATTTTTAAATGTTCCTCCTAACAAGACTACAAACTCGCGCCACTTATACACTCTCCATTCATAGCTTAAAATACCTACTTTTGTATGGTTGCCATTTTAGAGTAAAGTAGTGTGGTTTCCTTCCTGGGTTAAAACTATAGAACTGCATAGCATTTTTCCCAGCTTGTCGTAAGAGGTAGTTAACAACTAACAAGGGTTAGGAGGAGATTCTTTTCTCTTTGTGTTCCCAACTTTCTCAGATGCCAGGTTTTAGTCTAATCCTTTGCCAAGACCTCGATATCTTTCTTATTTCATTTCAATCA